TCCTGATTTTGGCTCAGGTCATCACCTCATGCTTTATGGGATTGAGCCCTGCATCTGGCTCCACATTGACAGTGCAGAGCCTCCTTGGGATCCTCTCTCTCTCCCTCTCTCTGCCCCTCCATCCCTCATACTCTTTATCAAAATAAACACACTTTTAAAAGGGTATACCATCTGAGGTTACATCTGAGGACAGGGGAGGCTGGGAGAGGCACAAAAGTGAATAACAATCATTAATACAAAATTGTACGTATCATAAGATAAATATAGGTGAAGTTGTGTGGGAAATGCAAAAAAGGAAGTTTTAAAAAGGAAAAGAGTTTCTTAGAAGAAATAAGACTTAAGCGAGATCTTGAAGAATAAACAAGGAGTAAAAAGTGGTAAGTCAGGGAAGAGAATGAAGTACAGAAGCAGCAGCATCTGTTCGAGAGCCCAGTGAAAGCACACGGCATTTCCAGCTTCCATGAGGAACAGAGCTTTCTGGCCACTGACTGAGTGAATGGTGAGTAATGGAAGACAAGGCTAAAAAGGTAGGCCGGCATGTCAAGTACTATGCCAAGGAATTTGAAATGGACTCTGCAGGAGATGGGAGTCATGGAAGGCGTTCAAACAGGTGTGATGTGGTCACATCTGCATGTTTAGATGAGCACTTATACAGTACTGCGGTATCTAAACCTGCATATGTATCAGAATCATCTGGAGAGTTCCAAAAATTGCTTCATATAGAAGGAAAAAGTACAGGTAATATAACAATTCTCCATTCACAATAAAATCATGTTGATGCTTTCCATTTTGGCTTTAGAATTTTTAAGAGAAATAAGAGAAATATTCTTGAGTTCCTTTTTGTTTCCTTCCCCAGAAATGAACACTTCCGTTTGTTCAGTGAACAATCCTTCTGGTCCGTGTTTATACAGAGAAAGAAACATGTAGATACATGGGTATGTCCATAAGAACTATAGAGCGTCAGTTTTATGTTAAGATCACAAATAATACATCTAGCAAATATTGCTCTAAATTTGCTTTACTCACTGGAAGAATCTTGAAAAATTCAGATTCCTGCATCCCACTTAGATCTAATGAATCAAAATCCCTGAATGGAGGTCTCGAGAAATATGAAGTTTTTAAAAACTCCCTGTTCATTGTGATGTCAATTACACTGGGGAGTCATGGGTATAGAAGATGAACCAGAGAGAAGACCAAACAGAGGAAGGAAGAACAGGAAGAATGATAATTCAAGCAGGGGGGATGCAGTCCTAAGCAAGGGCAATGCAGATGTTAACAAAAGACAGGGGACACAGAACTACCCTATGACCCAGCAACTGCACTACTAGGTATTTATCCAAAGGATACAGGAGTGATGATTTGAAAAGGCACATGTGCTAGGTTTATAGCAGCACCATCAACAATAGCTAAATTATGAAATGAGCCCAAATCAACTGATGAATGGATAAAGAAGATGGCGGGGGAGGGGGGGGCGCCTAGATGGCTCAGTCAGTTAAGTGTCTGACTTCAGCTCAGGTCATGATCTCATAGTCCGTGGGTTCGAGCCCCATGTCGGGCTCTGTGCTGACAGCTCAGAGCCTGGATCCTGCTTCAGATTCTGTGTCTCCCTCTCTCTCTGCCTCTGTCTCTCAAAATAAAATAAAGACATAAGGAAAATTTTAAAAAAAGAAAAAGATATGGTATGTATACACAACAGAATACTATTTAGCAATAAAAAAAATGAAATCTTGCCATTTGCAACAACGTGGATGGAACTAGAGGGTATTATGCTAAGCAAATAATCTGGAAGAGAAGGACAAATATCATATGATTTTACTCATAAGCGGAATTTGAAAAACACAACAGATGAACATAGTGAAGGTACGGAAAAATAAGATAAAGACAGAGGGAGGTAAACCATAGGAGACTCTTCAATACAGAGAACTGAGGGTTGCTAGAGCAGAGGTGAGTGGGGGGATGGGTTAAATGACAATGGGCACTATGGAGGGCACTTTTTGGGATGAGCACTGGGTGTCACACATAAGAAATGAGTCACAGGGTTCTACTGCTGAAGCCAAGACAACACTGTCTGTTGACTAACTTGAATTTAAAAAAGACAGGGGACAGATTCTGACGCCCTGTGAGGGTAAAAGCAATAGGACTTTGCAATGAATTAGAATCTGGGGTGAGAAGTTTTAAGTAATAAATGGCCCTAAGGATTTTAACTTGAATGAGTTGGAGGACAGTGACACCCTTAACAAAAATGGAAAACACATGGGGCGCCTGGGTGGCTTAGTCGGTTAAGCGTCCGACTTTCGCTTAGGTCATGATCTCGCAGTTCGTGGGTTCGAGCCCCGCGTCAGGCTCTGTGCTGACTGACAGCTCAGAGCCTGAAGTCTGTTTCAGTCTGTGACTCCCTCTCTCTCTGACCCTCCCCTGCTCACGCTGTCTCTCTCTCTCTCCTAGAAATAAGTAAAACATTAAAAAAAAAAAAAAAAACCCACATACATGGTGATAATATTAAAAAAAAAAAAAAAGGAAAACACAGAAACCGAAGAGCTGCCTGTGGGAGAAAAGATGGATTTGGCTTTAGACAGGTGAATCTGAGATTTCTGTAGGCTCTTCACATAAGTATCTCTCACAAACATTTATATGAGCTAGATTGATCAGGGGAGAAGTCTGGGGATAACACCACAGATCCAGAATTCCCTACTTAAAGGTAACAGCCATGCACTTGGAACTGGATACGTTGTTTCAGAAGAGAAGAGCCTTGGGCAGGTCCTTCAAGAATGCATGTATTTAGGGCAGAGCACATGAAGAAGAACAAGCTAATGAAACAGAGGGGGTGGTCAGGAGTAGAAGGGCCGCTGGGATCAAGAAGCCACAGGAAGGTTCAAGGGTCAAGAATCCACCAGGACCTGAGTGTGATAAAGAGGAGGACTGAGAGAGATGGCAAGATTGGACAATCAGAACCTTTCAAGGAGTAGTAGCCATCACAGCAGGAGAGGCCACAGTGTGACATGGCCTGAAAAATACCAGAAGCAGCAACTTTAAGCTACTCTTCAGTGTTGAAACTTGCAGTCAAAAATAAAATAGTGGAGGGATAATTATTTTAGGGCTTAGAACAGAAGATCTGAGTGTGGAGAATGTGAGAAAGGAACCAGCAGTAAAGAAACTGAAAAGATAACTTATTCTGTAGAGTTCCTGTGAGATTCAACACCTGAGGACACCAAGTAGCAAGAAGGCAGGGGTCGACCCCAGGATACAAACAGCAATTATTTAAAAGCAGACAGAGCAATGTAGACCTTTGGAGCCTCTCATCTCCAACAGCAGACTAAGGCTTTGTTCTTTGGAAAAACTTAAGAAGATTCTCTGGATTCAAAAGTGTTGGGCACACTGAAGGAGGGTGATGAAGAATAAAACTGAAAACCAACAGATGAGCAATAATTTACATACTAAACCGGCTGTTCTTATAACAGTAGCATCCAACAAGAGGAAGACATGCATTCTCTCTCCTGGTCCCACCCCACTCCTCCCTCCCTTGTTGACTGGAAAATTCTTCTCTGAAAAAGAGAAGTACCTGTATATACTCCCCACCCATTCACTCTGAACTTTTAGCCAAGGATCACCAGACATTCGAGGAAAGCCTCCTACATGAAAAGTGAAGGCAAACCAAACAGATAAAGACATCATATGGAACTCAGAGACCCTAAGGAAGATGAAGATTCTAGAACTATATAGAAACTAAAGTGGACTGGAGAGATATTAATTTGGCCATTTTTAAATTAAAAATGAATTAAAAAAAACTCCAAAAATCTGTACTTCTAACTTGTCTTACAAAATCAAAAGACCTGGCAATTCTAGACTCACATGGAGCCTAAAGGTAAGTAAGAGCAAGAAAGAGACAGGCCATGAAAGTGTGAGCCTAGACATTCTTTTGAGGAGAGCACTCCAAGGTATTACCAGATTCACAAAGGGGTCCATGACCCAAAAAGAAGGTAAGAGGCTTGAAACAGACCCTCTTCCACTCTCAACATCTTCCAGAGAAAATGTAACAGTTTAGAGTGCACCTAAAAGCTTTTTAGAAGGAATATCCAAGATTTGATATGTTAAATCAACTTCCCACATGCAGCTGCCCAGTTCAAAAGAGAAAATGCAGAGCACTCTAGGGAATGCGAGGAATTGGAACTTGCATGTAGATATACCTTATCACCACTTGGTGCATTGAAACTACATAGATTAACAGATCAGGAGAGGTCTGCTCTTGCAGCCATCTAGAAATATCCTGAAGGAAAAAAGAATCTAAAGTACTCACAGCTCAAACACATGACTACTAACATTGCTGACTTGATTAGAAAAGAAAACACACAAACACACAGGCTCATATGCATACATTTGTAATCAGCCAAACCTGCTGCAACCCAATCCCAAGGCTTCCTGTAGTCAGACCATTTTTTCTGATTGGAGGTAATCACAATACATAAATAAATCCAAATAAGAATTAATTTAAATTCTGTTGAAAGCTTTTCAGAGATAGAAAAGCTGCCCTTCAGAGATACCTTCTCCCAGGCTAATGAGTGGAATTACTGTGTTTATCACAAGCCAAAGGTAACTTGGTAGGTAGACGGATAAAAGTTCTTTCTCAAATCGCTTCACCTTGGGTTTCTGTTTTGCTTTGAATGTGCAGAGTTTGGGGCCACACAACGATTCTCCAAAGCTCCTACAAACAGAGTAGGTGTTGGGGGCTTGGAACAGTTCTCAGACAGAATTCGGGTCAATGCCCTTGAGGAACCATTAAGAATCCGGGATTGTGCATCTTCCCGTGTAAAGTCCTAGTCCCAGACTGCGTATAAGAAGCCCTTCACCTGCCCATCACCCAACATTACCACTGGGGGCCTCAGAAAGAGGTCTGTAGTCTACATTCAGTTCTAGAACTTTCCATGTGGGCACCCCCACCCCAAGTTTCTTTCCCTACTAGACAATGTTGCTAGGAAGTCTAGGAGATAATATGGGGGGGGGAGGGGGAAGCCCTGTATCGCTTTGGAAAATGTTCCCAGGGCCAGCAAGTAAGTATGAGGGTCTCCCACAGGTACCAGTCCAAAAGTCTCTAGTTTGTTACTTCAGGGATTTTCCTGGAGTTGCTTCTCCTTCACATATCCTTAGGGTTGTTAATATTTGGGTTTCTCAGGAATGGCTCCAAAAGCCATAGTTCTCATACGACAGTCTCAAGCTCGAAGGGTCTATAATACCTGGGCATCCTCTTGCCTGGGTTTTCTAAATTACCCCAACATGATTATAACATTTTGCTTATATCCCTCCAACACTTTTCCATGGCTCCTCAGAGAAAGAAGGAACTCCTTTCACACAGTCTGGCATGGCCCGGCCCCGTGTACACAACCTCCTCCCCAGCCATTCCCCTTGGTGCTCTATCTGCTCTGGTCGCACTGGCCTCCTCTCTGACCTTCACCTTTTCCATGTTCCACCCCCTACCACAATGCCTTTGCACATGGTGTCCCTCCACCTAGAGAGCTCTCCCATCTCTTCCTCTTGCCCTTAACTCTTCCCAGTCCTTTCTATTTCAGTTCATGAGCCACTTTGTCCACAAAGCCTTCTCCTACCTCTCTCACTGTGCTCAACTCTGTCTAGTCCTTAAGGCTCTCAAAGAAGTCTACTTTTCATTCTCCTGGGAGTGCTTAACACAGTTGCAATTTTACATCTGCTAGTATGATGAAGTGCTTAATATCTGTCTGACACTGGATTTTAAGCTCTGTGAGAGAAGAGACCATGTCTGTTCTCGTTTGCCCACGGCAACCCCCCCCCCCCCCCCCCCCCCCCCCCCCCCCCCCCCACCGGCACAGACTAGAGGCTTATAAAACATCACATGGATGCAGAGGAGGAGGAACACACAACCTCAGCAGGACTATCTCCTTGCCTCTCCACTCTCTTACTTTTACCTTTGGTCATAGGTTTCCTCTGCCCAGAAGGCTCCCTGCCCCGTCCACCTGCTGCTTCTTCAGAGGCCCGCCTCTTCTGTTACTAGAAACAAAGCCTGGTGCACCTTCTCTGACTCCGTCAAGTACACCCCCAATGTCTCTTTGCTGTGACTGTCCTCTCCACCTGCACTGGACTAGACCGCCACACAGTGGAGTGCAGTGCCCAGCCTCCCGACCAGGTCATGAGGGGTGGAGGATGCAACTGCACACAAACAGAGCCTCACGAGACAAAGTCACCAATGTGAAAAAGACCTGGGAGTGAGGCCAGCAGATAAAGCCATCCTCCTAGGAAACGTTTGGAGGTATAGCCCCTCCTTGCAACCTTCCTAGAGAAGTGCTGAACGGTGAACAAACTGCTGGGAGACAGATACGGTCCCTCATGGCTTGTGGAAAGGCTCTGGCCAGCGCACCCAACCAGCGCCTCTATCCTTGTCCCGCTTCTCCCTCGTGCTCACACCTAGAGCTTGCACCTTCCAAATAAATCACTGGCACGCACCTTAATCCCTCTCCATCCTGCTTTCTTGAGCATCCAGGCTGATATCCTCTGATAACCCGTGTCCCCTAAAGACAGAGCTGCACCTACAGCCCACGAGCAGAGTGTTTTGAGTGTTTTCACTACAAGTCAAATGAGAAAACAAAGCTATTGCGATCTTGGCATGGATTAACAGGAGGGAATTCACAATCCCGCTGCTTGATTCTGCACCGGGCAGACCCAGCATCGGCAGGACTGATGTGGTTTTGAGAAATCTACTTTAAAATGGTTTCTCAAAATTTCTGAATAAGGGACCTCTTAAGAGATTCTGATGACAGGTTCATGAACCCTCTGCCCAGGTAAACACAGGTGCATCGGTGTCCTCTCACTTCAGGGGTTCTGAGAACCCCTGAAGCCCCAGCCGTATTCATGGGTAAGAAACCCTGCTTTAGAGAAACAGAGAGAAATACAATCAATACACAGTGACAAGAACTGAAGCCATGTTTTCTAAGGAGATGAAAGAATACATCTTAAAAGGGGAAAAAAAAAAAATCAAAGGAGGGTGAGAAGAAAGCCGGTATATTTGAAGGTATATCAAATGGAAAGTCAGATGTTTGTTCCCACAATTCCTCATCTGGGGGTTACTTCCCTGACATCCCCAGTCCAATCTAGTGGTGTCCCTGTAGCCCATCAGCATGCTACAATTCTAACACATAAAATACTAGGCCATTTTCTAAAGTGACAGATAGGGGCTCTGCCTTGGCCAGAAGCACCCACCCAAAAAAGCAGTGGTGGGGGACTCCATACCCATCTCTGTATTCTCTTTGCTTTATAAAAATCATTCTGAGCTCATGGGCCACTCAAACACAGGTGGCAAGATGGCATGAGTCCCACAGGCCATAGTCAGTCAGCCTGGGCACTCGGCTGTAGCTACGGATATATCAGTGCTCCCCAAACTGGGAGCTCCCCAGGGCGAAAGGCATAACCTATTTCACCCAGGGGTCCCAGTCCTAACAGTGATGGGTACACAGTCCAAGCTTGATACATGCATACCAGATGAAAATCAGGCCCCTACCTAGTCTGCGTATTGTGGCTGTCCACTGGCCGAACAGCTAGAAGGTGAGTGGCTTAGCCAGAAAAGCCAGAGAATTCCGTTCTCACCAATTCGCAGGTTGGTTTCTCACTGTCTTATGTGAAACATAAAATAACCATTCACTATGTTTCCATAAAGTAGCCTTTTAAAACGTTTGATCCAAAGGGGATGGTTCCAAGAAATCCGTTAAATATTCTTGTGCAGCCGTTCACATCTTAGCATTTCATTTGTTATAATTGCAATTTTAAAAACAGTTAAACTCTGTGGGTGTTATTCCTAGATCTCATGATGTTTCTGTCTTTATGCTCCTCAAAAGAGGGAATCAGAGATATCCGGGTGTATAAACTACTGGGATTGAAAGGCCAAGTATTTGTCACATGCAGTTAATTTCCTTTGCCATTCTTGTGGGGTGACTGGAGAAATCATTTTGCAATTTCATAAGACAAATTCCTAAATCGTCAAATAGGACAGCCAAAACTTATTTGGTGTAGACTTATGCTTTTCACTGATGTCCTCAGTACAGGAAGGCCAAGAACAGCCTTCTCACCAAACATCCTTGCTCTGATGAAAAACTCAATGGCATTTATGTTCCAGAAAAACAGATCGATTGGAACCAAAATTTATATAACACTACCCAAGAAGTTGGGATGGAAAAACCAAGGGGAGTTGTTGATGGTCTTATTTTATAAGAAAGCTACTAAATGATTTTCTGAATATTTTTTTAAAAAAATCAGAGACAGTCCATAAATGTAATGTGGTATCCTTGATGGAGTCCTGGGACAGGTAAAAGACATTAGGTAAAAACTAAGGAAATGTGAATAAATATGGACTTTCGTTAATTATAACTTATCATCATTGGCTCATTAATTTTGATGGATGTACCACATTAATGTAAGATGGTAATAACAGCAGGAAGTAGGTGTGGGGTACATGGGAACTCACAGTACTAACTTTTCAACTTTTCTATAAATGTAAAACTTAGAGTAAAATGTTAATTTGTAAAAACAGGAGAAGTCCCTAAAGGAAACAATTAAGATCTGTAACTTATAACCAATCGGGTAGAGAGGGAAAGGGTAAATTTCAGAGCTTTAGGCCAAGAAAATGCAGGAAATAAGAAAAGCATATCAACAGAGCATACAGATGGGTAAGCATACCACTCAGCAAACAAGTGACAAAAATAAGGAATGTTAAAAATGCAGTATCTCTTATTTTCCTGATTAAATGCTGGGCTGCCACCCTCCAACTCCCTTTAGCCTCCTAACTTTTTTCACTCACACCCCAGGCAGCTGATTAGTGATCTGTGATTAGGCCAACCAAATAAGAAATGTTAACGGAGTCTCAGCTAGGAGACCCTCAGAAAATCCTATGGGACCTCATTCCCAGAAAGACCAAGGCCCTTCATCAGCTGTGCCCCCAGAGACCTAGCACAGGACCTGCAGATGACAGGTGCCTCACAAACATCTGGAGAGATTAGTGAGGCAATGCCCTGGCTGGGCAATGAACTCACCTGGGGGCCTCTTAATGAAGACCAATGCCCAGAGACACACCAGCAGATTCTAACTGGTCTTGAGCAAGAGCTAAAACATCAGTATTTTTTTTCCACTACTGGAGGTATTTATTTTTTTTTAGTTTTTTTAATAGTTTATTCTCAACTTGGTTTCCATATAACACCCAGTGCTCATCCCCACAAGTGCCCTCCTCCATGCCCATCTCCCCCCTCCCCCCCACATCCATCAGCCCGCAGTTTGTTCTCAGCATTCAAGAGTCTCTCATGGTTTGCCTCCCTCCCTCTCCCCCACTATTTTTCCCCTTCTTCTCCCCTATGGTCCTCCGTTAAGTTCCTCCTAATCCTCTTATATGTGCAAACATATGGTATCTGTCCTTCTCTGCCTGACTTATTTCGCTCAGCAGAACACCCTCTAGTTCCATCCATGTTGCTACACATGGCCGGATTTCATTCTTTCTGATCTCCATGTAGTATTCCATGGTATAGATAAACCACATCTTCTTGATCCATTCGTCCGTTGATGGACATGTAGGCTCTTTCCATGTTTTGGATATCGTTGAGAGTGCTGCTATGAACATGGGGGTACATGTGCCCCTATGCATCGGCATTCCTGTGTCCCTTGTGCCAATTCCTAGCTGTGCTATTACTGGGTCATAGGGGAGTTCTATTGTTATTTTCCTGAGGAACCTCCACACTGTTTTCCAGAGGGGCTGCGCCAGTTTGCATTCCCACCAACAGTGTAGGAGGGTGCCCGTTTCTCCACATCCTCGCCAGCATCTAGAGTTCTCTGATATGCTCATTTTAGCCACTCTGAATGGCATGAAGTGGTATCTCAGTGTGGTTTTGATTTGTATTTCCCTGATGAGGAGGGATGCTGAGCATCGTTTCATGTGTCTGTTGGCCATCTGGATGTCCTCTTTGGAGAAGTGTCTGTTCATATCTTCTGCCCATTTCTTCATTGGATTATAAAACATCGGTATTTTTTAAGAAGCTTCCCAGGAGGTTCTAACATGCAGCAGGGTTGAGTATGTAGGATAAGTCTGTAAGATGAACTAGAGCAGAGCAAGCTTGGGTATTAAGAGATCAGTTAACTTTTTATTACTACAGTATGGATGTGGGAATTTCAAATCATTACTATTTTCTCTTCCTCCAGCACCTGTAATTCACTATGCTTCTCTCCAGCAGCTGACATGTGTCATCTGCTTTCAAGGTAAGGGTGTAAGGAGGGGATACTGGGGTCACATAACTCCCAAAGTCTATTGGACAGTTAGAAAAGAAATGTTCCTTATATATTCTGATACAATTTTAGTCCTCAAAGGAGAAATATATTCTGGGGGCGGGGGGGAATCTTTTAAAAATGCACTGACCCCCTCTCAACAATTGATAGAGCAACGAGACAAAATATCAGCAAGGATATAGAGGAATATAAAAGCATAATATCATCAACAAACAGAATCTCACAAATATTCATAGAACATTCCACCCCAAAACAGAATTCTTTTCAAACGCTCATGAAACACAGACCAAGAGAGACCAGATCATGGACTATAAAACAAGCGTCCACAAGTTTTTAAGATTTTATATCAGCCAGAGTATATTCTCCAACCACAATGAATCAAACTAGAAACCAGGAACAGAAAGATAGGAAAATCTTCAAACAACTGGAAACTAAATAACATACTTTTAAGTAATCCACTGGTGAGAGGCACCTGGGTGGCTCAGTCAGTTGAGCGTCTGACTTCAGCTCAGATCATGATCTCATCTCACGGCTCATGAGTTCAAGCCTCTGTGCTGACAGCTTAGAACCTGGACCCTGCTTCGGACTCTGTGTCTTCCTCTCTCTCTCTGCCCCTCCCCTACTCATGCTCTGTTTCTCTTTCCATCTCTCTCTAAAATAAACAAACATTAAAAATAAATAATCCAGTGGTCAAAGACTTAAAGGAAATTTTAAAATATATTTAACTGAATGAAAATGAAAATACAATATAGCAAAATATGTACAACAGTTAAAGCAGTTTAGGGAGGAAAATTCATAGCATTAAGTACAAATATTAGAAAAGGTCTCAAATCCCTCGAAGCTTCCACCTCAAGAATGTAGAAGAAGAGCAATATAAACCCAGAGCAAGCAGCGAGAAGGAAATCATAAGCTAAGAGCAGAAATCGCTCAGGGACCCACAGGGTAATATAAAGTGACCAGGAAGGTAGGGGTTGGAGCAACACAGCTTCAAACCAAGGAACAGCAACAACTGCCAGGAAACTACCAGAAGCTAAGACAACCCAAGAAAGGATTCCTCCCTCAGCCTTTAGATGGAACAAGGCTCTGCTGACACCTTGATTTCAGACTTCTAGGCTCCAGGACTGTGAGAGAATAAATCTCTAGGGCTTTGAGTCACCCAGCTGGTGACACATTGTTACAGTGC